GAGATTTACATTACATTGATCTCATACCTGAGTTTGTTTGTACATTAGTCTGTGGTGTTTTGAGAGTTTGTATGATGCAATCTGTCATTTGACATGTAAAATGTAGCTTGAAATTACTTATGTATTTTATTTCTTTGTTTTTTAACAGCTTCACATTGACAAGAAGCAGATTAGCGTTGGCTTCATTGGTTACCCAAATGTCGGTAAGAGTTCCATCATCAACACTCTACGAGCCAAGAAGGTCTGTAAGGTGGCACCGGTACCCGGTGAGACCAAAGTCTGGCAATATATCACATTGATGAAGCGCATCTTCCTGATTGATTGCCCTGGTGTGGTCTACCCAACTGGCGACACAGATGCAGAGATTGTCCTGAAAGGAGTGGTAAGTTCCAAACATCATCTCACCATTCCTGGTCATCAGTCACTGTGTTTGAAAAGTATGCCCTTTAGTTTTGTTCTCTTAAAATAATGCCTTTATTTACCGGTGTTCTGTATTTGACATTCACATCCCAATTTGAGAACATATCTGTCCATTTTTCTATATAATTCTTAAAGAATAGAAAGAAATCAACCAGCACTGATTCCTACAATTATGCAAGGAGGATGCTACATGTTTCTTTGTACACATGCGTCTTCCCAGTGAACAACAGTTATTATAAAAATGTTGAAAAGGCATGAATCTGATATTGTAGAGTATTTCCAATTTCATTAGAAAATAAGAATAAAATGTCATTAACTTTCCTCAGATGTTTTTATGGGGTCTGGGAAGTGACATCAGGATGCAACTTTCTCCCTAATTATGATTCACAGTAAAGTGAACTCTTTATGAATTCTTCATTTTCCACAGGATTTGAGGACCTCACTTAGCTGGAGTTTTCAGTTCTGTCTTGCTGTATGTTGTGGATGGTTATAAACCCTAATTTCAATGACTGAATTTTTTTCTCAAGGTGCGGGTTGAAAGGCTTGAGACCCCCGAGGACTACATTCCAGCCCTTCTTGACCGGGTCAAGCTGGACTATATAACGAAGACCTACCGAGTGACTGACTGGACAGATCCCAATGATTTCTTGGAGAAAGTTGCCCAGAGGACTGGCAAACTGCTCAAGGTAAGAAATGAGGACTCTACTTCAAATTTAAAAGCTGAGCAAAAATTGCTGGGAAATATCATATATAAACCAGTAATGATGATGGTCACATAACATTTTGATTCATAACTTGTTACAGCTCCCAACAAGTTTGATGCTGTCAGCATCAAAGTTTGTGAAATTTGTTCCTGGTCAAATCTGGATCTGCAGGAGATGCTTCATTGATCTTTTTGAAGTTCTCCCTAAGATACCATTTCAGTCACTGGAGAATTCTCAAATATCCTTTTTGTTTTTAAATATGATGGCATAATTTTATGTGTGTGTGTTCTGGAAGTTTCTTTATTAAGTACATGTATTTTTAGTAAAGTTCTGAAGACAAACAAAATCAAGAAGGAAAGAAAAGTCAGTGTTAAGAGAAATATTTATCAAGCTGTCTTTAGAATAACTACAATGATCAAACAAACGATAGTTGTAAAGTTACAATACTGATAGTAGCATACTTCAGCAGTTGCTTGGGCTACATTCAGAGTTGCACATTTGGATCACATCAGTCAAATACTGAACAAATGTCAGTTTCCCCTCTCCCTAGAAAACACCTTATCTCCCATTTGTGGTTTTTGTATATTAAACGTTATCCCTGTTGCATGCCTAGGGTGGGGAGCCAGATGTCCGAACCGTTGCCAAAATGGTTCTGAATGACTGGCAACGAGGGAAGGTACCATTCTTTGTCAAGCCTCCAAACTGTGAACTGGTGAGTATTCAAGTGGGAAGGGGGGGTAGTTAAGCTTGTGGCTGAATTCCTGCAAACATGACTACTTGCCAATGGTGTTATTTTGGTGAAACTTGTTGGCTTACTTTTCAGAGCCAAACCCTGCAAATACTGATTCTAGATAGACATCTTCACAACTTTTGTACAATACTCAACACAACATCCTAAAAATTTATGGCCCACCGTTTCAGTTCAACATGTGGTCTGTTTTCACAAACTTACCGGGTGTGTGTGTGTGCAAAAC